CAAGGTCTGCCTACATTTGTATCAACAGAATCTGCTGCAAGAGTAAGTTTTGTAACAAGCTATTCTTTTCCAGGAAAGGGGTGTTAGCCCTATGCCCAACCCTAGCAGTCCTGTGAGGATCTAAATAAGTTCATGCAGATCAACACAAGATCTGGATGATCCAGTAATTGACTTAAAAGGAGAGCTTCTAGATCGGGGTGGGAAATTATTTGGGTTCGCAGACCACATAAGGAGCCTTACTGAGCTGTCGTGGGCTGGGTCACACCCCTCGACACCCCCATGCAACAACTCACCAAAACCCCTTGTGTGGGATGGGACCATAGGCAGCCAGGGAGTAGTGTTCAGGAACCGGATGGCTGAGGCCAGGATCACAGGGTGGTGACAGCACAGAGCCAGGGACAGTGCCACATTCTGTTACCTGCATGCCCCTCCAATGGGCACCGGTTCAGTGGGCAGGGGCATGCAGGGAACAGATCATGGCTCTGCCCCAGGCCCTGGCCCTACAATGTCACCACCCCAAGATCCCAGCCCCAGACAGCTCCCTGCCCACAGCCCCATTCGGTCTGCCTGGTTGCACAGGGCCTGGCTGGTCTCCATGGAGACCCTGGGATCACAGGGCAGTGACAGCGCAGGGCTGGGGCAGAATCAGAATATGCTTAATGCAAGTCCCTGCCTGTAGAACCGGGGCTTTGACCCAGCCCTGCACTGACACTGCTCCACAATCCCAGGGTCTCCATGGAGACTAGTTGGGAGCTATGGGGTCAGGGCGTGCAGCTGAGATGGTGCTACGGGCAGGTAGGGAGCTGCATTTGGAGCTGGGATCTTGGGGCAGTGACAAGGCAGGGGCAGGGCCAGGCCAGAATGGACCAAGCAACAATCTGCTCTGTGCATGTCCCTGCCCGAAGAACCCACACCCATCACAGGGGTGAGGCAAGCAGCAGATCATGGCTCTGCCATGAGCCCCAGCCCCACGCAGTCACTGCCCCAATATCCCAGGGTCTCCCAAGCCCCACCTGCCTACACCTCCATCCCAGCCAAGTGGCCTGCCCGCACAGGTCCTGCTCCTGGTGGTAGATGTGGGGCAGACTGGTTGCGGTGCCTGGGTGTCAGGACTGGGTCTGGCAGCAGCAGCCAGAAGGCGCCGTCATCACTGTTGAGCAAGTGAGTCTGGCTGCTGTGCCACCCCATCCCCACTGCATGCTGGAGGTGGCTGTCACAACCCAAGGGTGTGATTTTTTGTTTGTGTGCGCTTTGGCACTGCTGAATTATTTCCCGCCACTCGTAGCTTTCTTTGCAGGGTGCATTTCTTAGCTGCAGAAGAGAGATGCACTTGCAAGGAGTTCCTGCCATTTGTATTCAGATTTGTGCCCCACTATTGGTAAGTTTAAAATTATTCCGCGGGGGCGGCTAGCGATTGGCTTGCTAGCCGTATAAGAGGCTTGAGTGGTTTCCGCCCAAGTTGGAGGACTCCACGAACATCAGGAGGAGGAGACTTCACATCTCATGAAGATCTCTAAGCGCTGCAGAGCCTATTGGGCCCAGAGCGTATATCAAGAAGGCTATAGGGGTCTGATCAGCCTCTCGCCTCTTCCCATCGCCGAACGATCCCTCGACGTACCCTTCCCTGCGCGCAAGTTCCACGGAGCCTAGCAAACTTCGTGAGAGTGAATCCAGAGCTCTGTCCGAGTCCTTAAACTGGGACTTAAGCGAAGTTTTCCTGGAAGTTTTCCAGCCTGCACCGCGACCATCTACGGTGTAAGTAAACAATCTTAAATCAACCATTAAGCGTCCGTGCCTAATTCTAGCGTGCCGCCTGCCTTCCCCGACCTGGCGTGTCCGGGCTGCTGGCCACAGCCCGCCGCACGAAAAAAGGGCCTCGGACTGCTCCCGGCCTGCACAGTGGCAAGACCAGTTTCATGTACCACCGCCCAGGCTGCCCCTCGTACAAGGACCCAGGCAGGACCAAAAAACCCACTGCAGGCTGGACAAGACTTGCCTTGTGGGCCAGATTCAGCTGTGGGCCGTGTTCCGCCATAGAATCATAAAGTCGGAAGGTTAGAACAGACCTCTAGGAGGTCATCTAGTCCAACATCCTGCCTGAAGCTGGATCATCTCTATAAAAGCCATCCTATAAAAATCCACTGTTTAACCTCCTAGCAAAACTATGTAGTCAACCCAGATACAACATGCTACTCTGCCACAGGTAAAGCAGGGGGACCAAAGCTGTTACTACCCTGCTGCTGCAAAGGTTCTTAGTATATGCTCAAAAGATGCTAGGAAGAAGGCAACACCCCTCCACTACAGAGAAAGGCAAAAAACAGCACCCCCACCATACCAATGTGCCCCTGGGGTAAAATTCCATCCTGACCCCCAAATACTGTGATCAATCTGACCCAGAGCAGAAGGGCAAGACCCCCTATCCAGGAACCTCTGTGTTTAAGTCCCAGCAAGATCACTGGCACACCCCAGTCAAAATCCTCAGCCTTGGCTGCAGCACCCCCATCCCCCCTGCAATGCACATAGCAGCTATGGGAGACATTCTTCCTGGCCCAAAACAGCAACCAAAGCCCAGAAGCATGGGAACTACCTATAGTTGAATAGACACCTAGATCAGCCTTGACCAATGCCTGTTCAACCTCTTCTTGAATGAGTGTCCACAGCTTCCCTAGGCAGTCTGTTCCACTGCCTCACTGTTCTAACAGTGAAGACTTCCCCCAATATCCAATCTAAACCTATTCGCTGCAGCTTCAAAGCACTGGTCCATATCCTACTTCCTTTTCTTTATGGCAGCCCTTCAGTCATCTGAAGATTGCTCTCATGTCCCCTCCTAAGCATTTTTTCTGCAACCTGAACATGCCTAGCTCTTTCAGCCTCTCATCATGTCACTTGCCTACTAAGCCCTTTATATTTTTCTTGTCCGTCTCTGACACTCTCTAACTTGTCTATGCCCTTTTTTAGAATGAGCTCAACTCTGCATACAATACTCTAGATGAGTACTAATCCCAGCCACAGTAAAAGAGCCATCGCCTCCCATGTTTTTGCACCTAATGCTTCTATTGATGCATCCCAAAATTGGATTTGCCTTTTTTGCAGCTGTGTCACAGTGCAGACTCACACTGAGTCTGATCTACCAAGATGCCCAAATCTCTCTCTGTAGTGCTGTCATACAGTCAGGTGTCAGTCAATTTTGTATTTGTTTCTGAGTATTCTTCCCAAAATGTAGCACCTTGCACTTGATGGCACAGACCTTCATTCTGTTTGGAAATCTGGGCTAGAACTATCTGTTGTGAACTTTGTTAATTGTCATTTCATCCTCCAACACATTTACAATCCTTCCTAGTTTGTCACCATCTGCAGGTTTGCTTAAGAAGCTCTCAATTTCTTAATTCCAGCATCCAGATCATTAACAAACAGGTTGAACAGCACTGGGACCAGGACAGAGCCCTTTGGAACGCCACAGAAAGCTTTCTGCCATTGTGACGTGGATCCATTTATAGTTATCCTTTGCTCAAGGCTATTGAGCCAGTTGTCTATCCACCTATGGAAACAGTACTATCTAGGCCATATTTCTAGTTTTCAATTTTTTTAAACAAATACCTGACCCAGACTTGCTCTGCTTGAGGAAATTAGAGAGCAAGCTGGCTTATGATATAAAATGCAGTCTCTATTGTTACATGCATATTTAGTTTATTTGAATCTACATAACAAGGTACCAAACTAAACTACCTAGTTCTACTTCATTGTATAATGCTTTCATGGAAGCCATTGCCCCAAAATGCTGTTCACTGAGATACTGTCATGTAATTCTGCAATTACTGGTTTTGAACATGACTACTGCACTAAGCTCTTGTGATAAGGAGTTCTATAACCAGTAGTCTTCCAAGTATCTAAATTGAAAGCATCTCTCACAACGATATACCAAAAAAAGGACACACACTAAAAATTGTAACTTGATGTCTGCCACTGCCTCACAAACAAAGTAATTGATCCTAGGCAATACACAGGTAAACTTTCAAGTTTATATCAATATAAAAGCTGTTCCTAGGTAAACAGCCTCTAGAGCTAAAGGTCAATTATCCTTCCTAGTAAGTAGAACAAGGGGCTAGAGCTTCAACAGAACACTGTCCCTTAAGTGGTAAGTAGTCTCACTACTGATCTATTGAATTCTAGGCAAGAGCTTGGTAAACATTTTCAAATGCAGTCAAAGAGCATTGTATTATATTACTGCTATGATACAGGCGTGGAAAGGTGGCATGTGACCTTCACTAAACAATAAACTAGAGCTTCCAGACAACATGAGCAGAAGAGCCATTTCTCCATATCAGAGAGGAGAGGAGAGGAGAGAGAGACTAGAAGCCTTCATACTTCATAAATTCAACATGCAGAAACACTTACATAAGAAATTAAAAGAATTTGGATGTTAATTTTGGAGTAGTTGCTTTTAAATAAACTTAAGAGTAACATCTTTCTTGGGCTTCTAATTCTGGAAGAGGACTTCATCACAGAAAACACCTATGAAGATATGCAACACAACTACGTACATCCTTATGGCTTTTATTAGGGTGTAATGGGATGACCCCATTTTTGAGGCAGCACAATTTTAGTCAGTTGTTCTAAATACATACCCTGAAGTTTAAAAAAAAAAAGTTTCCTTTTACTTTGCTTCTTTAAAATGCACAGTATTGAATAAGTAATGACCACTCAGCCAATTCTCAAAAATAAGTGGAAACACTGGAGGAAAACCTCAAGTTGACAAAACATATCATTATCCATGTGTCAAACAGAATAAAGGCTAATCTTTTAAATAAAGAAAAAAAGCTCTATTTTGCCAACTGCTAAGACTACCAATCCCTTGGGAATTTGAAGAAGGCACAATAATCTTTGCCAACATGTTTATGCTTTATATTTTGCACTCTTACCTCTTGCCTTGATTTACCAGTTTTGAGACCACTTACGGCATTTTTTTTTTTTGTCTATTTAAATAAAGATGAGGCACTTACTACTTTGCTTCCTGTTGATTTACGTATTCCTCTAATATTAGATATGCTTCTTGGGTTGGCTGAAGTTCCCAGTGGAAGAGCAGTGGAAAGATAAGGAGAACTAGAAGGCATCAAAGGAGTTATCAAATTATCTAACATACTCCGTTTGGAGTTGGAGTTTCTATTTGCAAAAATGAGAGGTTCATTGTACCCAGCATCACCACTGCCAATTTCAATCTTCTCTTCATTCTTGATGCTTTTCAACCAATCTTTTAGCATCAGCTGAGTTGAAGGCTGGCTCAGCCAGCATAAGAACAGTTCATCCACTTTCATTTTTAGTACAGGCTGCAACACTTTCCCAGCTGGCATTTTCCACCAATTTATCTTTGTTCCACCAGAAATTCAATAAAATGTTGAGACTTTTCACAGCTTATCCCGGGTTCTTTTCCTTTGTTTCAAGAAATCCAAGATTCCTGTTAAAGGAAAAAACTTGTTGTTACTTAACGTTATAGCCAAGGCAAAATGAAACAACCTTAATTAATCCCAGATGGTACTAACCCAGTTTGTGGGTTTGTGACAAACATGTAAAAATAAAACAAGAAACTAACCACATTCCAATGCTTATGAATTACTACCCCATCATCATCATAAAGACTTTTAAAACTAACTCAGAAAGTAGCAGTTCTTTGTGAATCCCCACCCTGCACTGCCATACACATACACCACATAAGGTAAACATTGATCTGGTTTGTCAAACATTGGCAGCTTTCTCCATCTCTCTCTGTGAAGACAGAGAGTTTTAAGGTCTTTTCTTTGGTGATGATGGATAGTTCTTCAAAAGGCTGGCTACGACTCCAGAAAACTACTACAATAAGCAATGTAACTCCATTAGTTCGTGTTTTAGGGAATTTAGCATTTAAAAAAAATCATTAACATTGGGAAGTCAAACATTCAAGGGTGAAGGTTCAATCTTAATTCTCAAACTTCTCATTGTCTGAATGCAGATTCTCAACCCGGGTGTCAATGCTTTGAGATCCTTTTAGGGGTGTTGTGGGGTGCCACAGAACTGTTAAGAGTGCAAACATTATTTCACATGATAAACACAGAGATTTCCGAAAGGAATCCACAGTCTTAAAAACATCTTGATCATTTGTGGTCAGAGTTCTTTGCAATAGAATTACTTTACTGTTTTTCTGTAGTCAAAGTGAATGAAACAGAGCTGATATTCTCCAAGGGATTCTTCGAGTCCACCTTGGGGTGCCTTGAGTCTAAAAAGCTGAAGAACCACTGCCTTAAAGTGATATCAAAGACACAATATTTTAAAGTTATCTATCAATATAAGTGAGGTTTTTTATCAAATGTATACAGGTAAGTTATGGGTATCATCTTCAAACTTAATTTAGTTCATTTAATAAATATGGAGACACAATTTGAGTTTTGTATATTTTAATGGATTTTTAACCTTTACAGTTCATAAAAATAAACTGAAACCCAAGCTTAATCTACATTAGAGTGCCATCAGCTAATAACGTGGGTATGGGGGGGGGGTGGAAAAAAATTAGTGGTTGACACAGCTAGACTGGCAAAACCCCTTTTGTGGGCACAGCTGGCGTAATGCTTGCAGCAGAAAGACTGCCAGCATTCACTCTGGGGATTCTCATGTTATCATTCAAGTGATGGCAAGGCCCAGGAGTTGGGAATGTCTGGCTGGCAGGCCGGATTTGGTCCACAAAAACCACTGAATCTGGTCTACAGATGTAGGGTTTTGGCTGTGGGGGAGCTCTCTCCATGCTGTCACAGAAACAAAAGCAGCAGCTGAATCTTGGCACCCACCTGCTTCTGACTTGGGGTGGATTGTCTAGGCCAGTGTTTCTCAACCCATGGGTCATGACTTAAAAGTGTGTCACAAGAATATATGAAAGGGTCACAAACAAGCTTTAAAACTGCATCAACACAGTTTTAAAATGGATTTACCTGTAAAGAAAAACCATGGGAAGCCAGGGCTGCTTGGGGCCCCCCCATGCCCCTCCCACCCCACACACCCACCCCTTTCCCCATACCCTTAGGGGCTAGAACCTGGGGGCAGAGGGCAAGTCAGGAGTGAGGGGCACTGGGTCAGGACTGGCCATCAATGTTTACAAGTGGGTCCTGGTACAAAAAAAAGTTGAAAGCCACTGGTCTAGCCCACACCCAGAATAGGCTGACTTATCCTACCCCGACTTATTCTGTTGATATGGCTACAAGGCCTTTGGGCTTTGCATCATTCTCACTTCTTGAGAGAGGCCACAATATGAGGCAGGAAGCAGAAGGCTAGAACTAAACAGTGAGAACAGAATCAAAGTTGTTCGATGTTGGTCATTTAGGTGGATTACTTGATAACCTTGGACAAGTTACCTAAACTCGCACCTTGATTTCCTCATCTACTAGAAAAACCCACGTACAATGAAGTAACACTGCTCACTGCTTATTGCTTGTAATACACCAACTCAAATTGGAAGACATGATAGGACACAGTATTTGCAAGGCCCCTGCTACACATTACATATACAGGTTTCCCTCGCTTTACTGCGTTTCTATATGTGCAAATTCACTCTTTCGCGATGACCCTTTTTATACCAAAAATTCGTTATATACAAGGTAAATTCACTCATGCAACTGGTGTGGTGGAAGCCTGCAGTCAGATGCTTTGTGTGATGCATTATGGGAGTGACGCACACTAAAATGTAGTCTCCTGTGTGGATGTTCCAGTTCTTGAAGCCCCACTCAGCTACCCCCATCCTCTCCCCACTGGTGTTGGAGGGTAATGAGAGCCTTGTGCCTGTTGATTCTCCTATGGATGTTACCCTGCCTATACATCCTACCAGCGATATGGAGTCTGACACTGAAGACCCTTCAACACCTTCTCTGGGTCTGGGGGTCAGCACAGTCAAGGTCTTGGAATGCATCCCTATTTGTTACATTGTAAACTGTATTCCTTTTATGTGAATTCTAATTATGCACCATTTTCCAGGAACATACATACAGCATAAAGCTAGGGAAACCGGTATTACACAATTAACTACTCAACTGTGCAATAAATTTAGACTGGTTGCACATGCCATTTGAAGACATAATCACACAATTAAAGCGACTGTCCAGCTATAAAAAGAGCCAGCCAGGTACATTAGGTCCCACAAAGTCTCTCCCTAGAAGCCTCTCTGCAACCAGTTGGTATGCCCCAATGTCTCTCTCTAGATCGACCCCCTCTGCCACCTGTTGCACTGTCTTGCTAGAGCCCCCTCCACCACCTGTTGGTACATCCCACAGGGTCTCTCACCAAAGCCCCACCCCCAGCTGGTACGCCCCAAGCGCTTATGCTCCGCAGCCGCCTGAGGCAGGAGGCTTCGGGTGCCAGCGACGCGCCTCCCCAGTCACGGCGCTCGCGTTCTAGAGCCGTTTAAAGCCCGCGTCCGTCTTCCCTTCAACTGCCTGCTCCGCACGTGCGCGCAGGGAGTCGCGGCACCTGCACCGCCCCGCCCCTCCGGCG